ATATTTATTGATCACATACAATTACAATCGTGTATGAACAATCAATATGATGCCTTTGGGTGGAGAGATGAATTTATATTACTGTTCAGAGCAAACAAGGGGCCATCCAGCATTTGCTCAAAGACCAGGGAAACTGAACAAAACCTGATCGAGATGCGGCAGTCTTTGGCCTAGAAATACAATACTTGTTACAGTTAGATTAAGATATTATACAGCAGATTAAATTATCTGCTAATAATTAACATTTCAATTATGATGATTTTTAATGCTACTTACTTGTAATTTATAATTACATTAATAATACATATCAATTTATGTTGCAACTACATCAAATTTAACAATAGTAGTTTAGCCATTTTCTAATTATTTATAAAAAGTTTGGGTGAAATGTGAGGAGGCAAGTTTTGACCAGTTTTTTTCTTCGTTCTATCTCCTTCTATTTCACAGGATGTGATATGCAGTTCTTTTTTCTTTGCTTCAGCTTGAAAACAGTTCACATGAAAACAAAAAGGTCTAATCGAATAAGAAATTCTTATTTATTTATATTTTTTAAGCGGAAATGTTGCTAATTTGAAAAATTCCTTTACACGTGTTAGAACATGTGTTAGAGCAGGAAAGCTTTCAATTTAACTTTTAAATGTATTGAATTGTGTTTATGTTCTTTGGCATATCATTGCCTAGTTTGGTGTAAAGTGTAATGCTCTCTATTAGGGTAACTTTTTTTGATAAAGTTGGTAGTTTCAGAGTGGGGAACGTGTAGCTTATCCTTTGAACGGGTGTTTGTTAGTTATGTACAGTCAGGAATTTAAAAAGTATAACGTGTCTTTGTTTTCCATAGAATTTTCTTTGTGAAAGACCACTGATTTCAAAAATGTACATTGCAAGGTAGAGGGAAGAATCCTTAGTTTATTAAATAAGCGGTTTGCAAGGACTCCAGCTTATGAGTGCCTGGTCATTTGTTTGCCGGTATTCGCCTTTTTTTGGATAATAAATGTGCGATGCGTTTCAGGGGCATTTTCCCAGAATATTATTCCATATGTTATGTGGTTGAGTGCAATTTGCCCAAATACATTGTGCAAAGTGTCTTCAATGTTTGAGCTTGACCCTGAGGGGTGTATAGGCATAGCCAAGATTTGCGTGCAGCTTCTTGTAAGATTTGAAGATGTGCGCATTCCATTTAGGTTTTCTTGAATTGTTAGGACAGAGGAAGGTTTAGGTTTCCTGAGATATATGTACAGCGTTTTTATTTATGAGGCAAATTGCTGTGGGGGTTTTTCTTAAGATCAGGGATTCATGAAATTGAGAGAGACAGTCTTGCGGTGTTTAGTGATGAGTTTGTTGTCTTTGAAAACCATTTTACTAGTGCTTGCAAAATTATTTTTTTTTAGTTTCTTTTTCTAATGTTGTGTGGTTTTTGCTTTGATGGATATGTTTGTCTGTCATCTGCAAACAAAAATTATTTTGTTGATTCCGTAAAGCCAAAAGGCATGTCATTTATGTATATATAAGGAATATTGGCCCAAGGGATGGAATCCCTTGCGCGGACTTCACAATTTATTATTGAGGGACCAGGAGTGTTATGAGGAGATTTTTGTTTTCTTTAGTGTGTTGGAGGGCAAACTATCTTGTTCTACGTTTTGCATAAATATGTTTGGCATCCATTAGGCTGCAATGCCTCGAATCCCTAGCAGTTCTAGTTTTCTTTAAAGTATATGATGGTCAATCGATGTCAAAGGCTTTGTTGACAAATCTAAGAAAAGGCCATGGGAATTTCCTTGATTTAGTTGCCAACAAGATTATGTCCATTTAAAAAAGGAGAAGCATAGCTGTGTCTGTGGATTTCCTAAATTTTCTCTTTTTTAAAAAGGGGGCCCCCCATGTTTGTTGCATGTTGTAAGGACATTATTTGCATTGAGAAACTGTTTGAGTCTATCATTGAAAAGTCTTTCCAGAATTTTTTGAAAATTCGTGCGATAACAGGGAAATAGGCCCTGTAGTCATTGGGTTCATAAGTAAAATTGCCTCTTTTTAAAACAATGGTTTTTAATTTTTGCTGTTTTGAATATATCTGGAAAATATATCGCCTTGATTTTAGAGAGTAATTAGCAGATGGTGAGAGAGTGGCTTGCACATATACATGGAGCACTGTCTTTAATAAGAAAATCTGGAAATGTTGTCCATGCCTGCTGAGAATTTATTCTCCATTTTGTCCAATGATTTTAAAAATTTCAGAGGGTTAGTTTCATATAAAAATATAGAATTAACACCCCCCCCCCCCCCTATTTGTGTCTAATTATTAGTGTTTATTTTTTTAGAGGGTGTTGAGAGATTAACTTATTACTAATTTGGAAAAGTGTTCATTGATATAATCCAGCTATTTCTTGTGGGTTTGCTACAGTTTCATTTTTGTAGTGGCTCTATGTTTTTTTTCGTTATTATTAGTTGGTGCTGTAGTCTTTTAATAATGTCCTCTGGCTTTTGTTTTGTATTTATCATTTGTTATAATTTTTGCTTGTTTGATTACTTTTTTTTAGATCCAAAGTATATTGTTTTGTAATATGAAATGAAGTTTGATGTTACATTTGTTATTTGTTAGTATTTTATACATGTGCGTTTCTTTCACATGACACTTTGATGGCCCTGTGCGTAATCATGATTGGCTTTCCTTGCCTGTCAGTAATCATATTAATTTCTAAATAATACTAAAAAAAAACACAACAAAAATACTTCTATTAAATAAAAACAATAATATTAATATTATCAAAATATTTGATTTGCACAAAAACCCCTCCAGGTGTAAATGGATTTGCTTCAACTAACCAGCCTACCTTTTGCCATCCAGATACACCTTTCCAGACATTCTTACTATGTTACGACTCTCATCTTAAAACGAGAGCGACGGGCATATGTACACATTCTAGAGCCCTAATCAACTAATTATTTATATTAATTACTTCAAACAAATTATTCAACTATCATCCATATAAATACTTTTATTGTAATCCATTTCTACTTGATTATTAGCGTACACCGTGACCTGAATAACATACATATTAAATGATAAGAAATTTATACTTCAGCAAGATAAATCTTACTGACGGCGGATAATAAACTGATCAACAAAAATCAAGTCACATAAATCGTGTATTTCAATTACAGTGTGTGTGTGTGTGTGTGTGTCACATAAAATTATTCGAAAACTCAACGGCTTTCTGTGAAAGTGAGCTCAAATTTCTGCATTTTCAGAAACGCTCAAAAGCTTTTTCTCAAAAATTGTTCCAAATTTATTCTTCAGACTTTTCGTCTGTATAGTGCTAATTTCATTGTTTAAGATGACATAAAAAATTGGTATACTCCTTGTTTCTTCAACAATGGTACAAATGTATTTTTTCCTAATAATTTTCATTTAGGACGAGGTTTTAACTGTTCCTTAATAATTTTAAAATAATTTTCCACTCTACAATTAGGAAACCGATAAATTAAGGAAGTGTCAAAAAAGTTCTTTGAGTGACGATAGATGGCAGATAGCAAGAGTATGTGGCAAGTTCAAATAGCGGTCACAGACAACACAAAGTAAAAATAAAAAACTAATACGAGAAAGTGTGCCACTCTGTAGCACCTCTAGATTTATTGCTGTTTCAGTAGTCAAATGATACTAATTATATTATGCGCATTCATACGATTTATTTTGGAAACCGATTTCCTACGATATTTTGGGGAGTAGAAATTTCTGGCCGCAGAAAATGAACCGAAGTTCTAACCATAGATTAACATTCATCCATGTTCTAACTTTATTTGTGTGGGTGCCAAGAATACCTGCGATTATCTTCTGTTGAATTTTGCGAGCTTGCTGCTCAGGGCGAACAATTTTGGCTCCTATCTGGCTTATTGGTGCAACTCCACGAACAGGCTTTTCGATTTTCTTTGCTCCCTTCTGAACAGTTTTGACTACTGGTTTACCACCAGGTTTAGTGCCAGGCCTGATTCCAGCATTTTCTGCGGGTTTGGCTCCAGGCTTTGTTGGCTTAGCGCCAGGTTTAACAGCGACCTTAGCCACAGGCTTGGCGCCAGGTTTGGCTGCAGCTAGTTTGTCTGGATCTTTTGCACCCGGTTTTCCTGCTCCCTTAGGGGCACCTGCAGCAGGCTTCCCTGCAGGTGCTTTAATAGAGCCATTTTTTTGCTGGGCTTCTTGTCTAGGAGCAGCTCCCTTGGCAGATGCAGGTTTAGCTGCACCAGCTACTGCTGCTGCTACTGCCTTTGGTGCTGCAGCAGCTCCCTTGCCAACAGAGGTTTTCGATCCACTAGCTGCAGGTGCCTTGGTAGCGGATTTGCTCCCTCCTGTAATCGCAGGCTTTGCAGGCCCTGCAGATGCAGACTTAGCTGCTGCTCTCTTAGATATGTGAAGCTTTAGGAGTAGATGCTGATGCAGCAGGAGCTGCGTCAGGTTTCTTCTCAGGTTTCTTTTGTGTTTTTGCCCATGGTGGAAATAACATTTTATTTCCACCATGCGCACCGCTACACCTTGTTATGCCCACTATGGCTTAGCCGCTTTATCCGTGGGCTTCGGTCTCGGAACCATTTTGACGGAAAATAATAGCTAATGGGCGGATCCTGGCCATGCTCCGCCCGTACCTCTGCTCCGCAACACGTATTAAAAGTAGCATTAGTATAGTAGATGCATTGCAGATAGCGTTAAAACAAAATTTGTATCTCCCTCCCCAAATTGAGTAATGTATGATGAAAGTATCATGTTAAATTATTCTAGATTCAGATGTGAATTCAGCATAGAAAATGCGAAGAAAATCGGATTAGCTTTTGGAACTATTTTGCAGTACATAATACAGACATTCATTAATTTTCATAGAATGAAGATGAACTATTCTTCAACGATACGGTCAATGTTGTGAAATAATTAAACCAACAATAAACCGATATTTTATATATTATGTATAGGCCAACACTCTGTGTTGCGATCTTTTCCTCGTCCTAACTACAGATGAGTTTGAGTTCAATGACCTCACAGATGCTGTTGGAATTTACTAACAATGTGATTTAGAGATGTTGGTTTTCAGACTGATTAATAAAGTCGAATTGAGAGACACATAATTAGGTATATAATTTCCTGTTGGGTTGTACAACAGGCAGAGGGTACATTATCTTTCTCAGTATTGTAACATACAATTGTATGCAATCATTTTGCATCGCGTGTCTGCATATTCAGTGGATGAAGAAGTAGCGACTATTCAATGAACGTTTATAATTGCCCTAAACAGTTGAGCGGTTGTATTGTTCTTGTTATGTCAACAACATATGACGTAACATGTGATACAGTCTGATCCAACAGCTGATTTTTGGTGAATGACCTAGTCCGACGACCGGTGTTTTTGTAGGTTGTTTTTGTTATCGATTTTGGAATACATAATAGTTTGAAATGCACTTTGGGCATTGATGTGCAATTAACTGGAATAGCATTGTTATTTATGTAACTATCGTTTGATTTTTCTTAGTTCATTCATAGTTGAACTATATTTTCGTATATTTATGGCTATCTAGTCGTAGTATGTAGTTGGTTTTATTATTTTTTAAATTTGTCTTCGTGTATGACATATCAATGAAACTACTTTAAGTTTGTAGAATAAGTTAGTGAATGAAATTTTGAGGGGTCGTTTATTTCACATCGTAATTAACTAGTTAATTTTGCATTTTAGATAATGTTCGCGTTGTAAATGAAGAAAACATGAAGAATAAGAAAAAAAGTGATCAACATGAATGGGAGGAAGAATTCAAACCTAGTGCTCCAATATCCACAGGAACAATACCAAGATATCGAAACATTCATCCTCTACTCGAAGCAGAGGGTAAGTGAAATTCGCTTGCTGTGCAAGTGCAAATTAACATTGTCACAACACACATTATAAGTGTTTGTGGAAGTCAAACTTTAAGATTTTTCTTGTTTAAAATTATTTTTAAAGTTGCACTGTATTATTCAGAAGTGTAGTAAACTAATTTTTGTTTTGCCATGTAGAATCTCATATTTATGAAATTGTTTACTTATTAGAAGAATATTTATGTCGTTTGTACTTCATGTATTTAAGTAACATGTCTGTCTGCATGCAGCCTTATTTGTTTTTGTGTATGTTTTGTTACGTTTACCAGTTGTTATTAATGTTGTTGGTTTAGCTACAATATGCTGTATTTGTTTTATCAATTCTATTTTTATTTCATCAATCAGTTAATTTTGAGATAAAATTGAGTTCTTAATGAAGTTTAAATGATACAGAAAACAGCAGGTGTTAAATATTTAAGGGAATGAGAGGCGCACCCAGGATTTTCCTCTTGAGGGGGTGCAGATATTGTTTCCTGCTGACTTGATTTTTAACTTAAACAATGTTTCATTTTTGCTGAATATAAAATGTTTCTTTTGTGTGTTGATAGTATAGAAAATTAATAAAAGCTATACTTTTTTAAACGCATGATAGGGGGAGGAGGGTTGAAACCCCATAACCCCCTCCCCTCCTCCCTTATTGGATGCGCCACTGAAGGGAACAAGTTTCTTTGCAGAAAATGTTTGAATAAAAAGGTAACAATTGCTAAGTTGTTGCAGTATTTTGCAGTATCATGTGCCAAGGTGCACATATAACCCCTTCGGGTTCAATTTTCTTTCAGCTATTTAGGTTATATTGCAGAACATTTCAAGTGTGACACTATTTTATTTCTTTTGATTACAAGTACAACTTGATGTAGTGTAATTACATTTTTAGTATTTAATAATGGGAAGCTTTGAATACTGAAATTTCACTTATTCGAAATATTATCGTTGGTTATTTGAAATATCAGTTCACATTGTGAACAAATTATTTTTGACTGAATTTCAATTATTAAGTTTTGATAAATTGTAATACAGAGAAATGTGGGGGGAAAACGAAAAAGAAACAAAGAACATGTCAATCGGCTTATAGTTAAACCTGAATAAGCAAGACAAATTATAAATTTCTGATATTTTGAATACGAAGAAAAAAAAAAAACTTAGTGAGAATGTAAAACCTGTTTACTTGAGATTGTTTTCAATCCAGATTTTTCTTAGTGTTTTCTACCAGAGGATTTGACATTCTTAGGTTTCTCTGAATGACAGTATTTTCTAAAATTATTGAATCTTTCCACAAGTTCTTATTAACTTGTACTAACTGACTTGAAAGGTTGTAGCCATAACATTCAACTCGTTTGTACGCACATTGTTAGTGTTGAAGCGAAAGTTAAATTCATTACGAGTGATTGAAAATTTAAGTGTACAGTGTGAATATTAAGAGGCAAGACAAATAAAGGCAAGACAAATGAACTTCATAAAGAATTTAATGTGCAATATCTCTTTTTAAATTAATTTCTTTTTCTTTTGGTTTACAAGGAATAATGAAAATGTAATTCGTAAACTGTGTTGGCCTAAATAAAAGTTCTGGTGAAAGTTTTACATTTTGGTTTAACATTCACCTTTGGAACTAAAACAATTGTGATTCTAATCTCCATAATCTAAATTTCTCTGTGGGACAAGAACATGAATAAGTGAGAAACTGAAAATGAGAGGCATCTCTTTAAGTAAGAATAAAATTTCTGTCGTATGAAATCCTACTTTACCAAATTCACTTATATGTGAAATGCAGAAAAGCTTAGTCATATATTCAACTTATACACCTCTCCATTAAATTATTTGTTCTCACATTTACCTGAAAGTGGTAATCAAAAAAGTAGTCAAGAACCTTGTATGATTATTGAAAATTTTTTCCCCCCTTGTATTGGACCACTCATTTCTTGTAGGACTTATACGTTTATGCCAATTTTGCTTCTGTATTTGCATTTCAAATTGTCCTTTTCAGATCATTTGAATTCTGTGGATTTTTGCATCTTTTAGCTCTATATCATTACACATGTGAGGATTTGCAGTATCCACTTAATTTTATTAATTATTACCTTGTGCTCAACTACAAATTTGGAGGGCATGTTGTAGTGTTGAAGTTGTGTATCTCTAGACCTCTATAGATTCCTCCCTTGAGCAGCAAATGATTTTGAGTGCTAATGTCAGCTGTATAGTTGATGGCGCTAGGTAGCATTTTAGTTATTGCAAATGGCTGCGTTTCTTTTGTCTTGCAAAGTAAGTTATTTGGTGTTGATTGATTTATTTATGATTACTTCGGTTATTTGCAAATGAACTTTAAATTATAAGATTTTTATTGTACAAATTTGTGTGCATGTTGTGTTACTTTCTTTCTAGTACACTCTGACCAACCTTATTTGCAAAATGTCAGCACAATTCTTGCTAATTTCCGTTAATTATTTTAAACAGGACTTTGGGGCTTTGCCCAATTCTATCAATGAAAAATTAATCTTGATTATCAAAGACACTGAACATTTGTATGTGCATTCTTTATTTAGGGATTATTTTGGATACATAACGTAGATCTTTCACTTCAGTAGTAAATAGCAAATGAATGATGAATATCATTTGTGTTCTCTGCGGTGCATAAAACTCAGATGTACTTTAAGTCAATTTACGTTTTATACTCTATTGCATTTAACATTTATCTCTTCCTGAATATTAACTTTAATTAACATGAAAAATATTGTGGTGAAATGTACTAGTGTCAGAGAAAGAAGGGTAATCTTTATTGGAATGTAATTACACCTTGTCACAGTATTGTGGATTTTCACTGCAGAGTATTGGTACATGTAGGATGTGCCTGATATGTCATATAGTGATTATTTCCTTTCAACTTCTCAGCAGTTGAGTCTATGTTTGATTTCCTATGCCTCAGGAATTACATTATTGCAGATGAAATATTATATTTTTGAGAGCAAGTCCTGTCATTTGTAATGTGAATGTTTTTTTAACTAACATAAAATTAAATGTGTTGAAAATTGAAAACCACCTTAGATTTGGTGATGCAGACAATGAAAGTTTGTCAATTAACAATGTCAGTTGGTTATTGAAAGGATTTTTACTGTGTAAAATATAATCTAAATTATCCACACAGATCACACTTTAGCAAGAGATTATACTGTATGGTAGTCAATTTGAAAAACTGTGTTCTAAAGGGGAAATCATTCATGCAATGCAAAAAAATTGGTAATTATAGTTTTATTTAGGTTATAGATTATTTCAAAATAAGAGTCAAAAAGTTGTGATTTATGTTAGTAATTAATGTCTGTAAATGGAATAATTTCATATTTTGTGATGTACATATCCTGAAAATTTAGTTTTGCTGTTCGTTTTATTATTGTTTTAAAAGTCCATTGTTTATTTACCTTCATAATATTAAAAAATTAACTAAGAAAAATTTTAGTTTTAAATGTCAAGTGCAATTACCAGAACCAAGAGTGCGGGAATTCTGCATAAAGTTTCATGACCATTATAATGGAAATCATTAATATATTTTTCTCTCTAAAAATTTATAGAGAGTGTGTGTAGCTCACTTTAAATATGCTTTTTTTGTGATAATTTGTGGTGATATTTCATCATTACATTGCAATTAATTGAAGTATTGAAGCTGAAGCTGGAGTGAAAGTGAAGAAATATGTAAGTTCCCTTTTTGCTTATATATAAGCTAGCATGAACTTTCATACCATTGTTTTGTATTGCATTAAAAATCCAGAATTATGTGCATGGTAGTTACCAAATACAGTGTATGAACGTAACACAACATAATGAGTATTTGAAATTAATATAGGGGAAAATTTATTATTTATGTATGAGTAAAGATACCACAATTGTTAACCCACACATAGGAAGCTCTTTAATCAATTTCTGTGATATTTTCATGTTCTTCATTTATCTCTCCATGTTTAATAAGCACAAGTATTTTCTAAAGTGAGTCAAAAGGGAAAATTCAGGTCTTGAAATAAAATTATGATAAATTTAGATTTATGTGCATTGATTTAATAATTATTTTTAGTTTTTTCCCTGAAATGCTATTTACTAAGTCTGTTTTAAATATCATTCTTTTTCTTTATTGAGTTTCATCAAATTAGTTTTGAAATATAAAAATTAAATGAAGTTTGTTTCTAAATTTCTGATTTTGCCTATGCGGAGTTGAAATATTCTGGAATTGTAGAATAGGGTGTTATGATGGTTGAGATGGTTTTCTAGAGTGCCTTTTTCTAGTAGATCTTTGTAGATGAAGCAAGCATTCCAAACCATGATGTATTCTATTTTTTTGAACAGCGTTCAGCTTAAATTTAAAAAGAAAATGAGTTTGACTTACTAGTTCCTGATAATACATACAAGTATTTGTTATTGTGTTTGTAGGTCTGATGTCACCCAAGAAACCATTGATCCAGTCTTTTTCTTCATTTGTCTTTATTAAAGCGCAATGGTATGCCATTTGTTTCTGCACAAATAAAGCAAATTCAGAAGCACTGAAACTGAGTTAAACTGAGAACTTTTACTAAGCTCTATGTTACTAAGCTAGAAGTGAAAACTTAGAAACTTCAAAAATATGTGTTCACAAAGAAAAATTAACACAAAAATTAAAAAGCAATCAAATTTTGTAAAGTGGGTGCTTTTTACTTACTCGCCTTACGAATTCTTCGTAAGAAGAGAAAGTTACGTAATCGTGCGCCAGAAAACGCCGAAATTTCGCCAGAAAATTTGTTTCGATAACGAAAAGGTGGTTAAAACCTGTTGCTAAATTTTAAAAAAATCCTCTAACTGGTGATGTAACCAGAATCCATATTTTGTTGGTTCTTGATAACAAAAAATAGTTTGACGGATAAACGTCCGTCCGTTTGTTTGTCTGTCTGTGGTCAACGCTAGCGTTCAGCCGACACTGTTCAGCCGATTTCTTCAAAATTGATATTCTTCAATCGATCA